TGAGAGCATTTACCATAAATATATTAAGGGTATAATTNNAATCTCACATAATTAGAATGTTAGTTACTATATTTCATTTTATGTGATGTTAGATAATTAAATATATGATTAATAACTAATATAGATGCCAATTTCTCTTATGTAATTGTGTATCTTGTACATGCTTTTGAAATCTTATTACAAGCAAACCAAAATGTTAAAGTATCTGTTTTTTTTTTTTGAGGTGGTGATAGTTTGGGCTTGGATTGTATATCGGGGTTGAATTTATTTGACATGTCTAGTTGTAAATCTAGGGCCAATAATACATTCTCATGTGATGAATTCATGAAATATCAAATATGTATACTTCAAATGTTTTTTTTTCTTCATTTGTCTATTATTTTTTCTAATTATTTAAATTCAGTTATTTTTTAAATACTTTCTTAGATCCATATCCGAATTTTGTCCATTGATACATATATTTTTTGGATATTTAAAACTCACGGATTTGTATAAAAATACCTTAAAATTATTGATATCTTATTTCATTATACCCCAAGTTTAAACCAAGATTAGAGACAAATTTAAATAACTAGAATATGACCCGCGCATTCGCGCGAGATTTTTTTATACTTTTATTCAGTTTAATAATTATTTATATATGGATTTAGTATTAATGCTNTGATAAAAATAATTAAATCTTTGATATAAAAAATAAAATTTGATTTGAAATCAAATAAATAAATGTTTTGAATTAGTTTTAAAGATGCATGAAAATATCAAAGTTATCATTTAAAATTTATTTGTTTAAAACTTTGTTATGTACATATATTAGACCATTAGATAAATCATGTTATCTAAATAATCGATAACGAATTTGCAGATAAAATTTATCAGTTATTTTCTAATTTATCTTTATAGTAGTATAAATTATCAATCATAGTTGGTTTCCATATGTCTTCACAATGTCTCTTTGTTATTATCTTATACTTAGCACTTCACAATTTTTTTAGTAATGTGGCATATAGAATATACTAAACAACAACTTATTTACTTTTTGTTTACATTCTTTTCAATCGATGAATAAGAAAGCTTATTTCTTCATCAGTAAGGTGTAGATTTTCTTCTTCAACTTTGATTAAATATTTTGCTAGTCAGAGTTGAAGAGACCCGTAGTTCCTTTTAAAATAGTTTTATGTATTTTTTTGTCATTTATCTTTGTCTGGTAAGTTTATATATATTTTGATTTTTGTTCATTGTAGAAAAATAGTTGAGATTTTAAAGTACGATTTCTTAAACGTTTGTCTTCCTAATGTGTGGTCGAATGTAAGATTTTGTTTTTTTTTTAACTAAAAACTTTTTAGTAAGAAAAAACTTTCCATATTTCATGGAATATATAACTTTTAAAAATAATCTAAAGATTTTTTTTCCCTTAACATTTTATTACGTCAGTTGATTTTTAATAAGTTTTTTAATTATAAAATCCATTACACATTTTAGATTTTTTTATATGTGTAATATAAAACTTTAGTAAAACAAAATTCATATATAAAGTCCATACACACATTTTAAGTTTTTTTATATTTTTAATATATAATTTTGGTAAAACAAAATTCATATTATCATTACTACTATAATCAAGTGTAGTGTTGTATTTATTAATTTTCATTTTCATTCAATTATTTAGTTTTAACGTTTTTAGTCTAATTAAATTTTTTTTATTGGTTATAAAAAACAATAAATATGATTTAGTGTGTAGTAAATGACTATTTTAAAAATTAAATGTCTTAGGAAACATTTTTATCTATGTGGACACTGTAGATGAAGAGAAAAGTGTCTAATTATATAATAGATTATTTAAATTTCTTGTTTTATTTAATATTTTCCAAGCTCTCACTCACGTGTATTTAATTCATTTTAAACATGCTTCATATTGTTCTTATTTAATTTTTAAAAATATGAATATTTGAATATAATATAACCACTTGAGTTTTTAACATAAAGCAATATGAAGATTAATATAAATGCAAAATTATTTTATCAAACGATATACAACATAATATTGTTCATGATAAATTAGATTCTTTGAAAAAACAATGAATCGCTAGGTAGTACATGGTAATTATGTCAGTTGAAACCTAGCAAAAATAAGAAACGACGTTGACAACCAACTCACGATCTTTTATACAGGAGAAAGTTCTTCCCTATTGTAGTCCCATGCGAACATCTATCTAGAGACTTTGATGTTAAACATTGACTCAATCTTATAACGAATAACATTAAAACTATTTTATTTTAGTTATGTGCATATATATATTTCTGAGTTTTAGTGAAATTTTATACAATAAAGAAATGAAGTTAAAATCCAATGTAAGATTTTATTTTTATAGAGATACAAACTTTTTGTAAATTTATATCGTTATCATAAGTTCATTATGTTTTTATTGCTCTCAAATAAAATATATGTATTGTTGTAATTTGTATTTACAATATTAAAAATACTCAAATAATTTTGAATGTATGACTTTTAGTCATTTTTTGTTTAGTTTTTTTATTCAATTAGAAATTTTAGTAGTTATAATTAATAATAAATATACATAAACATGAATTAAATGAAACATTAAAATAAAATTTATTATAAAAGAATTATTTTGTTTATGTGGACACATTAGATGGAGATAGAGTTTTGCTATTATATATAGAGAAATTTTTAAAAATGTCACTTTTCAAAAATTTTCTCATATATATAGATCTTTCATATTTCATGAAATATATAGATCTTAAAGATAATATAGAGAATGATTATTTTTCTTTAACAGTTTAGAAATATGGTACGTCAATTTATTTTTACTAATTATTTCAACTATAAATTCATAAACACATTTTTGGTTTTTAGTATGTGTAATATATATATTTGGTAAAAGAGAAATTAATATTAACATTACTGATAAAATATTTCATAGTCTTAAATTTATTAATTTTTATTTTCTTTTATTAATTGTTTCACGTTTTT